AACTCAACTCAAAGGCCAATCAAATGAATGATAACAAGTGATGAAACCGTTCATAAATACTGTGTTATTATTATAGCAAACATTCTATATATAACGTATTGAGTGGGTGAAGAGTTTTGTCCCCCCCTATAATACACTGTATGTTGCGTATTATCAACAGTGAATGTGTGCGACACTAATGTACACTCACTCACGCTGTATGTGTAACGTTGTATTTGACTGATTGGATTTATATAAAAATCACAGTTTTATCACTTTTACACAATGATTTCAACTGTTATCAGTTAACTTTAGTTAACAAATTCATTTACACGAGTAGTAAGTTTCAATAAAATACAATAAACTCTAAGTAAATGATTGTCCAAATGACCTTGCACCAAAATATTATCCAACACCTCATTGCGGGGGACAAAAAGTGGCCCAAAAAGTGAACATAATTTATATGAATGAAAACAATTGCGTCAATGACTCCAAGCCTTTTCATCTCAAAACGTATGACAAAAACAGTTACTTTGAGTGCAAAACAACAAAACAGTTGATTGCGTGAGAAATCAGTCGCTCATCGAAACCATTATTAATAGCAGTCATAATAATCAGTGTTTACATCGACTGCACCACAAAATGCTGTGACTCTACCACCGATTGCCACCGGAAGACACCAGTGAAGACACCGCTGAAGACATGGGCAACTCGTTGGTGGGGTCGGCCCCGCAGGCCATACACCCGATCGAGTACTACCTGTCCGATGTGGGCGAGTTTCAGTACCAGTGCTCCCTCGGGTCGACCCGTTTCCTCAAAGTGGCCAAATGTGGTCACTATGAGGGCGAGTGTGTGGTGAAGGTGCTGGCCGTCGAGGACCCCTCCCTACCCCTCGCCGCCCACAAGCAGCGCATTGAACGCCTGTCCGCCCTAACCGTCCGCAACGTGTCGATCGCCGCCTTTCACAGGGCTGTCATTCAGGGCTCGTTCGCACTCATCGCCCGACAGTACGTGCGGTACTCCCTGTACGACAGGCTCTCCACCCGGCCCTTCCTCACGCGGCTCGAGAAGTGTTGGTTAGCCTATCAGCTGATCCGATGCGTCGATTGGTGTCACAGGAATGGCGTACATCACGGAGACATCAAACTCGAGAATATCTTGATTACCTCCAGCCTATGGCTCGTGATGTCCGATTTGGCCACTTATAAGCCCGTCCTATTGCCGCACGTGAGTTGATAATAGTCTTTGTGGGACCCGTTGTGGTGATGATTGTCGTGCAGTAATTGGTCAATGAGTTGAGCGTTAAGTTTATGGGTTTTGTTTGTGTAAATAGGTTTTAAAAGTTGTTTTATTATCGCTTTTTATGGCTTAACTGTATGTGAGATAAATTGGCTTTTATTTAGTGATTTAGGTTTGTTTACAGTATGAATCATAGGACTGGTAGGGGACAGGCATCTCATGTGTATAGACTTCATTGTCTCGTAATTTGTCATTTGATTTAAGGTTTTGTTTATTAATTTTGACAGCAATTGCAACCATTTCTATGCAGTGACTGAAACTGCTATCAAATGAAATAATCCTTGAATTTAATACTTTTGATTTGAAATTCAAAACTTTGTTATCAAATGTCTGTTCACTGAATAGTTACATAAATATTGGTTATAAATAAATTAACTGCTGATTAGGCGTAAAGTGAACAGTATATCGACCTTTAAAACTGAATTATGAAATAAACACAACTTTTTAAAAAACTTAATTCACTGTTTAGGACAACCCGTCGGACTTCTCGTACTTTTTCGACACATCCCGGCGCCGGTGCTGTAATATAGCGCCCGAGCGGTTCGTGAGCGACAGCGGCTCCGGCCTTCAGTCGGACGTATTGAGCGCGACGTCGACGCCCACCTCCAGCCCCTCGACGGACGCCCAGTTGACCCCTCAGATGGATATGTTTAGCGTCGGCTGCGTATTGGCTGAGCTCTTCTCAGACGACGCCC